GCGATATCGTCGTTGCGAGCGGGAGAGTAAACGGGCTGCGGGACGTGTGTAACTTGTGATAGGACCTACATTAGGGTCAAGCTGACGCAAACTGTACGCCATCCCAAAATGTTGTTCGAGAGCGCATCTTTCTGCGCTCGGTCAAACCTCGGACAGTGTTTTGTGCCAGCCATCCTGGAGCGTTCTCTTCCACTTGTTCGTCCTTTTTGGGATATGTCACATGTATTAGCGCTTAACCCTTACCACAGAAAACCGTAGTGAGATTGGAACGAGAACGCTCCTTGACAGATGGTTTTAGGAGCCTGGCTTCCCACTCGAGTTTGCCTTGACCACAGCGGTTCCCTACGTGATGGCCTCAACCAGGAAACCTAGCAGCAGGATCACCTTTTTCTCAGTTCCGCGCCCCGTGGTTTAATTCTGGTCAGACTGCTTCTCTTTGATATCGACATTTATCATTTAGATAGAGGTCAGATGGACCTGGCTCGAAGCGAGAACATGCCAGGCCGTTACTATTAGTCTATATAAATTTCAAAGAACCAATTTGGCTGTCAGTATGCAAGAGTTGCTATCGAGCTGCTACGCGTCTTCCTGCAAATTATCTCGTTGGTGGTGATGCAAAGCAGTTCTATCTTCCCAATGAAGACTTTACTTATTCACATGTTGCAAATGGTTCCCCCGTGGCACATCTATATGGACAAAATGGGAAGGTAGGTCGGAGACGCGAGGGACCTCGGAGATGATCACTGGGTATGTATCCCAAAATTTCATCACAACATATTAATATTTGTGAATTATTGTATAGATAGTATAAATGATGTTTTCATATTCAAATTGTTAAAATTATCCAGCATTCCGGTTCTATTTTCATAATCCCTTATAAGTGGCGGCTTAAAATGAGAAAATAATTCATACTAATCTACAATATCTTTAAAATAATTATCATTACAATATTGGAACTTGCACACAGCGGATCTCAGATTGGACCGTCCCTACTGAATATCCCACGCGTCGCTCTTGTCTACCGTCCTCCATGTATCCTCTCCCCGAGCCGCCCACAAAAACCTCTCTCGCTGAAGCTCGCAGGGATCTCGCTCTCCACCAACAGTCCGTAAAAGCCCTCTCCACTAAAATCCAGTCCGCAGAGGATGAGCTCTCCCGCATCGTCGAGCAGTCGCGGTGCGCCATCCACGAGCTAGAGAAAGAGCGCGCTGCGCTCGAGGACAGGGTCGCGCTCACCCTCGCCTACATCTCCCCCATCCGACGTCTCCCCCACGAGCTCCTCCGCTACATCTTTCTCATCGACTTTGACGAATATCCATGCTGCGCGTGGGTCCTCTCTGCTGTCTGTTCTCTGTGGCGTAGGCTCGCCCTGTCTATGCCCACGCTGTGGTCCAAGGTGAGCGTCGAGTCATCGCTCTTCTGTCTTTTCTTCTCGCCATGTGCGTTATCTGCCATGCTATGGCCACGTTGTTTGGCCTGGCTCTTGCCGAATGACGGGTCCAGGCCCATGTCGTGGTCATGTCGAGCCGTTCATTCTGTGCCACATCTGAGAGGCGAGTTCCGACGCTCTCGGGTATCTCAGGTCGCCCGGCCCCTCGTTACCTCCACGAGCTTCTTGGTTTGCCATTCGCTCCCTGGAGACGATGCCGTTTGCTTGCTCGACACTGACTTGTAAACTCAGATACGCCTCGTGACTACCCAAGCAACCTCTGCAGACACCATCCGCCTATGGTTGGAACGCGCCGGGCACAGCGTTCCCCTCGACATTGAAGTCTTCCTGCGAACGCAGCCTGTTCATGCAGCCGTGATGGAGCCTCCCCCGCGCCGGCGAATA